TCAAACTTCAAATTTACATTAAAGAAACTCATAATGTACATACAGGAATAACCACCAGGTTACATATCCCTACCCTTCGACTAAGACAACTTAGCAAAGGAGCAGAAAATCCAGGGTGAGCTACATACACCCCTCTAAGACCAAGATGGCCATCCTTAACATTACTGCAAACCAAACAAATAAAACACCCTAACTAAATTTAAAGAAACAACACCCAAATGATACATCAACACTCCCTCACAAGAGGAAAATATCTTCAGCCACCACAGCAAGGTCAGAGTTGAAAATAGCTTGGTCATTCAGTTTTTGCCGAACCCTCTCATTCTCAACCTGTATAAAGACAGTTTGCCATGTGTTGTGCTTGTTTTTGATCAGCCATTCCCTGATTTGAATGAGCTCTCCTTCCTCTGATACCAGCTGTGAAGACTGTGGTGGCACCCACTCCTGCACTACCCTTTGATCCACTAAAGCTCGACCCTTCACTCTGTTCCCCTCACCCTAGGCTACATTAGCACTGAGAGTACCCATCTGCTCCCCTATTCCTTGTACTCCTTCAGTGACTGAGTCCTTTTCTGCCTGTGTTAGATGCATCACTCTTGTAGGCCTAGTGCAAAGATCATATTCCCTCCATTCGTGATATGATTTGATTACTACTGACCTCTCATCACACCACTCATTAAAAAGCCATCCATTTCGTGTTTTCCACATCCACCATAAAATATAGGTAAATAAGGAGATTCTATCTTTTCTTCAATTTTTACTACTTAAAGAACAAATCTCCTCCCACCATCTCTGAAAACTCACCCCATTTCCTTGCAATCTATCCATTCCAACCCTGCTATTTTCCAAATAATTTTGGCCCGTGGACATGTGAACATGAGATGCTCAAAGTCCTCCCTCTCCTCACCACACCATGCACAAATTATGTCCACCTTCACACCCCTCTGCTCTAGATTTGCTTTAGTGCCTAAACAATTATGATAACACCTCCAAATAAAGTTTTTTACCTTTGGTTTAATTGGTAATTTCCAAGTATCCCTCCACATTTTTGCAGATAGCCTTTTCCTGCACTGCTCTCACCTGAGGTACCACTCACCATCTTCATATTTTGAATAGCTTCCTTGACAGTGAACAATCCTTTCTTGTTTAGATGCCACACAAACCTATCCTTCACCCCTGTTTGACTAATATGAATCTTGAGAATGCTTTCTGCTACCAGTGGATCAAAGGTTTAATAGATCAACTCTCTGTCCCATTCTTTCTGTCCTGAGAGCATGAGACCAGCCTCCTTTTTCAATTTAAGCCTGTCTTCTGGAAACATACAAAATTGTTTAAACTGAGGAACATTTGGGATCCATGGGGCATCCCATAAATCTATAGACACCCCATTACCCACTAGGAATCTAGCCCACACTACGCCAAAAAAGGCTTCAGATAGCGCTTTTTTTTTTCTACAGATAATGCTTTTAAGCGTTATAGAAATCAGTGTTATCTGAAGACCGATTCTTCAGATAATGCTTAAAAAGTGTTATGTGAAAAGTCTTTCCCATAACGCTTTTTTATGCTAAGCGTTATGTGAAGAGCCCTTCACATAATGCTTTTTATGCCAAGCATTATGTAAAGAACCCTTCACATAACGCTTTTTATATGTGGCGTTACGTGAAAAACCCTTCACATAACACTTATTTATGTTAAGTGTTATCTATAATGTTAATCAGAGAACATTTTTTTAACAAAAGTGCTACCTGAAATGCTAATAATACATAACACCTTTTTAAACAAGCATTATCTGTGTATAATTGTTTTTCTTTATAAATATATATATATATATATATATATATATATATATATATTGTGCTTGTACACATTAACTACCTATACCAATAAACAAGAACCAGATAATATAAATCATAACACCATATACCAAGAAGCAAGAACCAACAAGAAAACAACACAAACATGAATACAAAAACTTACTAACACGATCCACCAATTTTAACATTGTGCTCGTGTATGTACAAGAGAATAATGTAGCACAAAATCATGAAAGAATCTCCAATTCCAATAAGTCGAGAAAAAAAAAACTAATATTCCTAGTAAGAAATTCGACCACCATTAGCCAATATCCTAACCAAACAATTTTTGATGGCAACCTCCTGCATTGCAAAAGTTATACATATATTGATATCAAATTTAAGTCATTCATCACATATTATAAACAAGATATAAAAGAAAATGTAATAGGAGTAGAAAAAAGTACATACCAGTTAAGTTGGAAAAGAATGCACATGTATCTGCTAAAATTAAAAATTGAGAAACATCTCAATCATTATTAATTACATTTTAACCAAAATACCAAAATGTAACTGAACTACAAAATAATTGAACACACTTGTACTTGCAGATAATTGAACATGTACATGTATTTGCTCCCCACATAATTGAACGCACTTGTAACTAGGAAAGTACTACAAATATAACATTATTAATTACATTTTAACCAAGATACCAAAAAATGAGTACGTAATGGAATGATAGGAAAAAAACTTAAATTCATTTATCTTATCTGGGATTATCATTTCATAAAAAATAATTATGTCTTTAATAAATTTCAAAACGTAATACCCACAATCCACACTGTTAGCTTGTTTGGGACACTAAAAGAAACAAATATTTGTTAGTATGTACATATATAGATCAACATCTACTACAAATAACATGTTGAAGTACCTTAGTATTTTTTATCTCAAGCGTTTTGATTTTTTGGACATCATCCCGACTTGAGCCCGAAAAACTCGTAATGCGCTAGTGAAAAAACAACAAAAAACAAATACACCATAACAACCACATATACTTACGTGTTGAACACATTCTTTTGGCTTCATAAGTTCGACCAGGAAGAACATTATTGATAGGAAGCATATCTTTTAATAGCTTTAATAATTCAGTGAAGCTCCTATCTGACCATCTACTATTAGATTTCACATTATATAAATTCAAGATAGCAGATAATCTTGTGAATTTAGTGCAACCATCATACAATGGTTTGTGAGAATCGCTTACCAATCTGTAGTGCCCCGTTCGGATATTAGATTTTTCTGACTTTATTTTAATTAATGAAATTTTATTTTATTATTTTAATGCCTTGATTATGTGGTTATATATTATATTATTATGTAGACAATATAATTAGATAAGACGTTCGATTTATTTTTCGATCGCCGTTCGAGTTTTCGGTTTAATCGCGTAAGCCAAATTGTTGTCCGTTTTATTTTATTTTCGAACCGTTGTGACCCAAACTTCGAACCGACTCGACTGGCCCTTGAAATGTTTCCTTTAAACTCTTATGGTCAGCCAAACCGGCCCTAGTCGATGGAACCGAACCAGCCTTCGTTTGGACATAGTTTAAATCATTTTGAATTTAAAATTCAAATATTTTTGCTAAGGATTGGAGATTGAATCTTTGACCAAGGACCAGCTCTTTTTCTCCGCTAATTCCACGACACCAGCCCTTAAACTCAGTCAAAACTTCCTAAATGAGTGCAAAGGAAATCACTTTACATGGTAAGAATATATCTCAATTGGACTCCTTAAACCACGGTTCTTTCCCCTCTCACTCTCTATTTTTCATCGCGCATCAGACCCTCTCCTTTTCCTCTTCTCCATGCAAGAACTCCCCAAAAATCTGATCGCAATCAACCGCCCTTTCTCTTCCAATTGTTTTCCATCGGCGAGCCTTCTCCTTCCCCGCACCCTACGCGCGACCGACGATCAACCGAGGGCAACAATCGACGTCCCCAGCCTCTGTTCATGCTTGTCTCGACCAGCAAGTGCCCTCCATGACCCCAGGCCACCAGAGTTCGAGAGCAAGGCCGTCACGAGCCGAGCTCTGCCGCCAAGCGCGCGGTGTCCAGCCCTTGCCACGTTTTCGCGTCTCCCCTTTGGAGTACGGTAAAGGGTGGCTTATTTAATGATATTTGATGAATATATGCTGCCCAAGGTGTTTGTTGTGTGCCTTGGTATTTTATGTGATTATATATGTGTTGGAATTGTTGTCGTCCTTTCGGTTTATTATTGAAACCGAAGGACCTGTGTGAAATGCGTGGAAACCCTGGAGTTTTAGGAACTTTGGAATGTCCTTAGTCTGATGGTGAAGACCTTGGGTCATTTTGAGGTGTATTTTATGAGTTATGAATTTTTTAAGTCAAGCATGCTTGGCTTATTTGAAATATCTATGAAAAATCGAATTCTGAGGAAAATGAGGTGAAATTCTTTTATTGTGTATTCTCTGATATTGAAGTTTATGTGGTAAAAATATCAGGTTAAAATTCGATTGTTATCTAGGACAAATGACGATTTTGATTTATGGACTGTTTCTTGTTAAAATCATATTAAATCGTGTACTTGCTGAAATGCGTTGAAATTTTTGAAGTTTTAGTTTTCTCTGAGTGATTGTCCTTTTGTCCAAATATCATGGCAAAATTCGAACCCTAGCTATGTGAACTCGTAACTTCAGATTTTGAGCATAATTTTACAAAAATCATTTATCTGAGTTAGCTTGAAGTTTAGAGGTCAATCTTCTGTGTATTTGTGTGTTTTTGTGTCCTATGTTATGTGTAAAAAATTGAAAGGAAAACTAGGAGCCACTCCAAAAACCTCGGTAAGTATTATTTGCACCCTGTCTGCCGGGCCATTTTCTAGCAGCCTCTGCCCAACGCCCAACAATCCCAGGCCGCGCCCCACCCGTGCCCAAGCCCGCGCCAGAACGCCTCGGCAGCCCTCGGCTACGCCATCCGAGCCCTGTTTTGACTTTTCCTGATCTGTTTGACTTTTCTTTGACCTGTCACCTCGTTTTTCCTATCGAGTTTGTTTTAAATGGTTTTTAATTGTTCTTTTTCGATTCTAGTAGTTAGATACAAAGGTTCCGAACTCCACAAATTTCCATGTGTTTACTTAGTCGATAATGTTCGGGTAAGTGAATATTTTTGTGAATGACTCTTAGTATTGGGATAGTTTGTTGATAGGACTATCTTGATAAATGTAGGTGTTTGCCGAGTCGAGCTCGCACCCCTACCAGTTTTTCGTGCTATTTCTCCTGATGTTCTAGGTGAGTTTATTTAAATATCTATGCGGTAAATTGTTTATATTTTGCTGGACGGTATGATCTATGTATGTGTGTGAACCATGTAGCCTGTCGATGTGAGCTGTTACGTCCGTCGACACGGTTGTTCCCGTCGATGTAATACGGTGCCTAATGAAAGGCAATCTCCCTAAGACCTAATCAAAGGCCATGTCGTTGGTAATGTGAGGCCCTCGACATGTACTCCCACCGTTGGGTAATGAATGCCCTTCCGTGGGTAATGAAAGATGTGTACACAAGAGTATGATGTGATTAGGAGATGTGATATTCAATTGATTCATGTTCATGCTGCGACCATACCTATCTGTCATATATATTCTATTTATTAGCATAGTAGTGAGCAAGTGGATTGTGCTCAGTCCCATGTAACAAACATTTCAGGTTAAGCAGATAGCGGGCATGGCGACGAGGAGACGAGTGGCTGGTCTGCATATTTATGATTATATTTGCT